CTCTGGGGTCTTTGATGGAGTTGAAGACAAAATAGTTATAATTATAGTTTTCCTTAGTTCTAATAGAAAGTAAATTAGATACAAAACTTTAGACTCACCAAGATAAGATAGATGATTAAATATTTTCTCTAATTTTGCCAAATGCAAATGGATTAGATATTGTAACTGTAATTCTTGCTTGATAACTGTTTCGTTATATGTAATTTTAGTATGTTAAAGTTAAAACCTTTTTTGATTAGACAAAAAAGGGGAAATGTTGTGGGATAATGCTCTTGTACACTGTAAAGATTTGTCACTGGAATTGGTTTAATAAAATGCTTATTGGCCAGTAGCCAGGTAGGAAGTATAGGCAGGTCAACCAAACTAAGAATGCTGGAAAGAGGAAGGGTTGAGTCAGTAGTTTCCAGTCAGCCTCAGAGGAAGCAAGATGAGGATGCTTCACTAAAAAAAGGTACCACGCCACGTGGCTAAACATAGATAAGAATTATGGGTTAATTTAAGTGTAAGAGCTAGTTAGTAATAAGCCTCAGCTACCGGCCTGGCATCTATAAGTAATATTCAGTCTCTGATTTAATTATTTGGGAACAGGCAGGCGGGAGAGAAATTTCTACCTACAGGTCAGTTCTCTCCACCATGTAGGTTTTTGAGGTTCAAATTCAGGTTATCAGCCTTGGCAGCAAGTGCATTTATCTACTAAGCCAAAGCACTGGTCCTAGACTCTGAATTTCATAAAGCTCTAACAAATAAGAGTTTGAAGGTTCTCAACACAAAGATTTGAGAACTCTTTAAGAAGATAGAAATGCTAATCACTCAGATTTGACCATTATATTTTATAACATATATATGTATACTTTGTATACATACTTTGTGTATATACTTTGTGTATATACTTTGTATACATATATATGTGTGTGTGTCAAAACATCACACTATATCCCACAAACATATACAATTATCTGTTAATTAAATATAAAATGAAGCATTTAAGCTACATATTATGTTTATTTTTCTTTCCAAGACAAGGTCTCCTATAGCTCACACTGGCTTGAACTCTCTATGTAGCCCAGGATAACTCTGACCCTCTGAGACCCTTGCCTCCACCTCCCAAATGCTGGGAAACATTGTAATTTGAAACTGTAAATGTTTTTCCCCCTATTTTCTTTAGTTTTGAATTTTACACTAAAATCATGCCTTTCTATTTTAAGAGAACAAATTTTGTGTTTAAAAAGAAACAGAAACAAGGTGTGGCCGAGAGTGCCGAGGCGGGGAAGAACACCACACAGCACCATGTGGAGAAAAACAGACAAGACTCTGGTCTCCAACTGAGAAGAGGGAAGGGCCCGCTTTGCATTTTGCCAGTTTCCTTGCTGCACAGAGAGCACAGATGTATCCATTATTTACAGATTAACATGATCTTCACAATGTGCTGTCTATTTAGACCCCACAATAGGCAAAACAATGGGCTTGAACCAGTGCCAGGCACCTCTCTCCCTAGGTTTAGGAGAGGGACAACTTGAGCGGAGGCAGCAGGATTCTGTCCAAGGTCTAGCCAGGAGACCAGACTTTTACAACATTCTTCCTCCGACAGCTCTGGGGCTGGGACCGCGCTGTCCTTTTTCACTTATGTATTTATTCGTTTGACCCTGGAGGCAATAACGGTCTCCCTTTTCTTTGAATTGAGAGAGGCTGCCTATGGGAATGCAGCAGCGCCTCCTAGTAACCATGGGAACCTTATTGGCATGGCAACCCAGCAGGCAGCCCTGAGAGAGGCAGCCCAGGGGGTGGAAAGGGAGAAAGCAGTGGGAAGTGCTGTAGTCCTGAGAAAGCGGGGAGGGGGATGCAGCTTTCCATCCTGCTGAGGAGAGAAGAGGAGGAGAAAAAAAAAAACAGTCCAGCTGATCCTTTAGCTCTCTGGCGGGCACCGAGGAGAAGTTTGGCATGAATTCAAACCTCACTCCTTCATCCAGTTCAGAAGGTTGGTGTAGGAGAGCTATAAGTCAGCTTGGGTATGGAGACCTAAACCTACTCATGGCCCTTTGGTTCTGAAGTGAGACTTGGTTGCACCAGAAAAATGAGTAGAGACTAGCAGACAGAATGAAGGATCTCACAGCACAGGAACAGAGAGGCTCCTGCGGAGTTTCGCTCAAGGTACCAACCAGCAGGGCGGAAGGCTGTGAGCCCCAGCACCTTCCCCAGTGCTCAAATCACAGCTGGACACATCCTTCCCCAACTTCTGTTCTCCTTTTGCAAATGCTGTTGATAGAACCTAGGGCCTCCCGCTGGCTAGGTAAGTGCTCTCTATCACTGAGCTGTACCGCTAACGTATTTCATAATCTTCAGTGCCAAATAAAAAGCATCTTTTATTACAGTTGTCTAGGAATGAGGAAACCTCTAAGGAGCACTTAAGTAAGAAATTAATCTTTTGGTAAGTTTGAGAATGGCTAGGGATGTAGTAAAGATAAGACAAATAAAGGAGCCAAGAACACACAGGATGTTATAACATTATTATTATTATTATTATTATTATTATTATTATTATTATTATTTGAAGAAGGAGTGTTGAGGACCTCCCTACACAGTCCAGGCTGGCTTTGTATTCTGCAGGCCTCAGCATCCCAAATGACAAAGATTATACACATGTATAATATTTTGAAAGATGTCGAGATCATGATGGGAAGACATGCAGAGATGACCAGCCACACTAGTGGAAGTCCATGAACTGTGGACTGGTGGCTGTGGAGCCCCCATGGGACTGGACTAGGCCCTCTGGATATGGAAGACAGTCGTTTGGCTTGAACTGTTTGGGGGACTCCCAGGTAGGGAGATCAGGATCTGTCCTTGGTACATGGGTAGGTATTTGGGAGTCCGGTGACTGTAGTGGGTAGCCATTCCAGCTTTGGTCTGGAAGTTCCAACCCCCATTGAGGCTTCAGTAACTGTCACACCTACAAGGCAGGACCAAGGGAGGGCCCTGAAGACCCAAGATCAGGATGTGCCACGCTCTCTCCCAGCTTGGACCTGGACTGCGCTGCATCCTTCCCAGAACCTGTAACTTACAGCTAGCTCAGTCAGTAGAGCATGAGACTCTTAATCTCAGGGTCGTGGGTTCGTGCCCCATGTTGGGCTACAGATATTGGTGAAATTATTAAGGCCACCCCACGTAGTTAAAAGGGAGATTTATTTAATGGCGTAACTTACAAATGAAGGGATAGGTAAGCTGCGGGTTCTGGAAAGGACACAGTGCAATCCAGCGGTGTTCTCTGGAGAACTCTCCTCGGTCTACCTCCAGCATCCAGGGTCCAAGCCGGAAGAGAGCATGGCACATCCTGATCTTGGGTCTTCAGGGCCCTCCCTTGGCCCCGCCTTGTAGGTGTGATAGTTACCAAAGCCTCAATGGGGATTGGAACTTCCAGACCAAAGCTGGAATGGCTACCCACTACAGTTGACTATGATGTGACGCCTTGCACAGCCTTGGTGCAGTGGGGAGGGGCTTGGACCTCTCGGAGAGAAGTTATGGTTCTTCACTGCTGAGCCATTTCTCCACTCTTACTTTATTATTACATTTTACGTTATTTTATGGGTTTGGGTGTTTTGTCTGTATGTATGTGGGTGCTTGGAATTGAGCTCAGTTCCTCTGGAAGTTTAGTCCATTATCATCATGGCAGGGAACATGGAAGGAGGTAGGCATGGTACTGGAGCAATAGCTGAGAGCTACATCCTGATCCACAGGCCGAGAGAGAGACTATGGGCTTGTCACAGGCTTTTGAAACCTCAAAGCCCACCCCCAGTAACACATGTCCTCCAACAAGGCCATGCCTCCTAATCCTTCTAATCCTTTCAAATAGTGTCACTCTCTGGTGACTAAGCATTCAAATATATGAGCCTACTGGGACCATTCTTAATTCAAGTCAGGGATGGAGAGATGGATCAGCAGTTAAGAGTGTGATCCAAGTTCTCTTCCCAGCATTCATTTAGGGGGGTGCACAACTGCCTGTAGCTCCAACTCCTGGGGACCTAATATCTTCTTCTGGCCTCAGAAGGCATATGTACAAACCCACACACAGTGGCTGGAGAGATGGCTCAGTTCTTAGGAGCAGTTGGTGCTTTTGCAGGGGACCCAAGCTTGGTTCCCAGCACCCATACATCCATCTGTAACTCCAGTTCCAGGGGATCTGATGTCCTCTTCTGGCTTCTGTGGGCACCAGGCATGCAAGTGGTGCACTTGTATACATACAGACAAAACACTTATACACATAAAATAAAAAGTAAATACTTTCAGGGAAAAAAAATAACCCTTCCCCCCACATACATTGGAGCTCAAACCAGGGATCATTTTTTGAGTCCTAATACATACTCATTCTAAAACATTATCCATCAGGGCATGGGTACACACAACTTGTAATCTCAGTTTGAGAGAGAAGAGTAGGGAGGGTCGGGAATTGAAGGGCATCCTCAACTACTGAGAAATAGCAAGGCTAGCCTTGACTACATACTGAGACCCTGTATCAAAAGATTCAAATCAACCAAACAACCCCAAATAAAAACAAGTAAAACATTACCCATTGTTTATCTAAGATTCAAATTTCTGTTGTTATTGTTTGTGCTTTTGAGACAAGGTCTCACTCTAGTCTAGGTTGGCCTGAAACTTTCCATCTTCCTGCTTCAACAACAGAATTTTAGTTAGAGAAAATTATTGAATAAAATGGAATTTGGAGTTAATTTATAGATTTAATTTTCTTTGCTCTTGACATAGGATTTTGTATAATTAAAATTTTCAGCTGGGTGGTATGGTGATATTTTATTTGTGCTGAAATGTGATTTTATTTGTATGTTAATAAATAAGTTGCCTGGGGGGGTCAGAGCTAATAGCAAGCCATAACAGAAGCCAGGCAGTGATGGCATATGCCTTTAATCCAATCACATGGCAGGCAGAGTCTGTGTGTTCAAGGACATAGCCAGCTTGGAGAGACACACCTTTAATCTCAATACAAACCATAGAGCCCTGGAGGTCTGTATAGACAGGCAGTGACGAGGAGGTCATGTGGTTGGGTTTACAACCACTGACAAGGCAAAACAGAAAGTCAATAAAATGACAGATGCACAGGAAGTAGGCCTCTTTCTCAGGGGAAGGACGGCATCGGGTGATAAGAAGGCGGTTTTTAGTCTCAGCTCTTAGCTACTGCTCTGACCTCTTGGGCTTTTAGCTCTGCATTTGGCTCTGTGTTTCTTATTTAATAAAACCATTTAGAATTACATCTACAGGGCGGTGGCGGCGGCGGCGGCGGCGGCGGCGGCGGCGGCACATGCCTTTGATCCCAGCACTCGGAGGCAGAGACAGACGATCTACGAGACCAGCCTGGTCTATAGAGGGAGTTCCAGGACAGCCAAAGCTACACAGAGAAACCCTGTCTCAAAAATACACACAAAATTTTTTTTTGTCTTATTTTCTCTTAATATCTCTGTGAAGAATGTGTCTGCAAGTGAGGAAACAAAGACAAAGAGATTAGAAGACAGTGCATGATCCCACAGTGACCTGAATGTGTTAAGGGCGTAGCTCCACAGTGGTGGTACACCTAGCATGTTGAAGGCCCTGTATTCAATGTTTAGCACTGCAAAAACAAATCAAAATAAAATATAGTAAAACAAATCAAATTTAAACAAAGTGGGGGGGGGGGCAACATGGGATCAGGTTTATTTGATTTGATTTATTGATATATTTTGAGAGAGACTCTCATGTAGCCCTAGCTGGCCTTGTTGACCTTACTATGTAGTCTAGGCTGATTTTGAATTTCTGATCCTCCTGCCTCGATCTCTTTGCCTGATTTTATGTGGTGAAGGAGATTCAGGCTTTGAACATACTAACTAGGTAAGCACTCTACCAACTGAACTACTAGGCTGGAGTCCATTTAAAAAAGATACGGAAACTGGAACAAGTGAGAGGTCTCAGGAGGTTAAGGTACTTGCTACGAACCATGATGACTAGAGTTCAACCCCAGGACCCAC